GAATTCATGAGCCATTGAATCGGGTCCCAGTGGCTGAATGGTATACGAGCTTGCTGGCCTTGTAACGGGAAGGTCCTGGGTTGAATCCCAGTGGGTACGTACTGCCGATGACTCCCAAACTAGGATGAAACAGCTGTTCAGTACTCTCAGCTGGTTTTTCAATGCTTCTCTAACTGATATCAATCCGTGATCAACTCGTAAAAAATATAAATTGTTGTAACTTGTATTGAGATCGCATTTTGCACAGTGAAATATATCTAACTTTCTCAGTCAGTCATCTCTGTCTCCTAAGTGTGAGAATAACGTAAATTGGAAGGTTGGATGTTCATCCGCACCTCCTAGTTACAATAAACACGAACTGATTCTCACCTTTATGCTGCTTCTTTGTATTTTTGGGTGGTCATTATTATGACTTCCTATGAAAATGTTTGTAAACATTACTTCAAAAAGTGGAAATATGCAACAACTAGGGATTAACTAAAAAGCGATTGATTTTTTTCTAGAGTCATTAAATGTCTTTTATTATTCGTCATGGAGATTTCCAGGATACTCAAAAGCATGAATAAAAAATAATTATTATATACGTAGAATATCTGTAAATTATTCGGATAGAAATAATTAAATTTCATCAGTTGCTCTCCTCTTTCCCTAGAGGCGTATGTGTTCTATCTCCCGTGTAAAATGGTATAGTATTATTATATTATTATCATCCCCTTAGGTTCCGAGTGGACCATGTAGCTTCAGCAACACATCTCAATTTCACCGAGTCGTCTATAGTCATCTTCAACTGGGTTCATGATCACCCACAAGCACTCATTTTCGATTAGACACTAGTCAGCGACTAGCGTAATATGTCTAGTCTTATCCAATACATTCCTCCAGGAGGTCAATCGCAAGCCTTAATAGCTTAATGGTAACGTCTCTGACTACATCACTGGGTGACGTGGCTTCGAATCCCAGAAGGGACATGAGTTGATGACTACTCAGTGCTAACTATCACGAAACCTATGTCAAGCAAGGCTTCCTGTGGCCGACTGCCTCCAACCATCTAACATAAGCAATTATTTCATTCTCATACAATCTCCTCCATGCTTAAGTCGTTATTTCCAATTCAGGTACCTGGCTGGCGAGTTATGTCACTAGATGGCCTCCTCAATGAGCATTGGATCCATTTTCTTCATTTTCTTTAGCATAAGATAGTGTAGTGTGACCAGTAATAATGAGGTTACTTTTTGAATATTCGGTAAGAAGTAAATGTTAAATTATACGTCTGAGTTAGGATTAGGATTTATGAAGCTGTTTGGATGGAGATGATGACTAGGACACTTGTCGAGATAGCCGATCTATCGCCTTCTTCGACAAGCAGTGTTAGTCAATATGGTATTAACCCATAAAACTTATGATTACTGATTTGAGTAAAGCAGGTAGTGAGGTGCAGATTGCTCAGATTGATATTGTCAAGATGCTATGAACCAACGGGTGTGAACTGTTTGCAACATAGGTCCAAATGCTTCTCATTAGTGAAGATTAATTCACTCTTTGTGAATTCCTTGATTTTCGTATATTGCTTGTTACTCTCAATGTAATCATTATTCCATTCTCAGTAAAATTTCATTGATCATAGTTTCTTTACATTTCCTCTTTTCTTCTTTTCCTACCATGTTACAACAAACAAGTCATGACGTATGTATGTAATGATAAGATGACCGCTTTGATTTGTCTATCTATGGCTTAGTTTTCTGAGGTTTTGCACATACTACATACCGTAAATTTTATCTAATAAAAGTTGTTACCATTTCTGTTGTTGTCGTCGTTCCAGTCGTCGTATTTTCCCGTCTGACTTTTGTGTCCATCTCAATGTCAAAGACCTTTTCTGGGACCACCGTCTACTCAAGCTAGACGAACGCAGGATTCAGTAACACTTCATCATTTTATACCATTGTATATGATTTATGTTTGATGTCACACAAAATCGAAGACTTACAAGCAAAAACCGACAAACTGGTCGAAGAAGCAGCCAGAGAAGACAGGACTCCAGGTGAACATACACAAGACGGAGGTTCTGAAAATAACCAACCAACAACAACAACAACAGTAGCAACATCCAGCGCCAACCACCATCAACGGGACGGATTTGAAAGAGGTTACTTCATTCACTTATCTAGAGATCATTGTCTCAACTACAGGAGGAACGGACGAGGATGTCAAATCGAAAATCGGAAAGGCGAGAGACACATTCATCAACCTGAAACCAATCTGGAAATCTTCGTCACTCAACTCAGCATCAACAGCAAAATTCGGATTTTCAATACAAACGTCAAGTCAGTCAGCTTTGTTATACGGATCAGAAACTTGGCGGCGGGTCACAAAGAATATTTTCAACAGGTGGCAGACCTTTATCAACAGCTTTCTTCGCTATATGCTGAAGATCAGATGGCAGGAAAGAATCACTAACAAGAAGCTATGGGAAGAAACAAAACAAGAATCAATCGCTCAACAAATATGCAGGAGAAAGTGGAGATGGATTGGACACTCGCTGGCTGAGGAGGCCTCTGGGTGACATCGCGCGTCAGGCCATTGCTCGAGTGGAACCCGAAAGGGAAGCGGCGAGTAGGACGTCAGAGCAAAAGTGACATGGAGCAGATCGTGTGAAGAGGAGTTGAAACAGTATGGAGTAACATGGATGCAAGTGAAAAGTACAGCAGATGACAGAAGCAAGTGGAGGCGTGAAGTTAAAGCCCTACGTTCCACTAGGAACCCAAGGGAACAATAATAATAATATGATTTTAGCGGTGCGGTAACTTGAACCGTCACAATTTTGTGCATAGTTATACTTTTTAATCATAGTAATAATAATAATGTTTAACTTTATTCTAGAAACAGTACTTGTGATACATAGTGGAATTTTCAGCATTAATCACAATATTGCGTCTAATTTCCTCAAATTATAAATAAAATTAATCACACAGAAAATTTTCAACATTTACAATAGGGGTAATATCAAAAAAACATGCAGCATGTAAAATGGAAGTAATAATAATGATAGCAGCTAAGATAATGATAATAATACAAGTGGAAATTGCCGTGGGCATGTTTCACACAGCAATGTCGATGCGGTATACAAATCCTTGCATGATTAAAAATATTGAATATAATGTTCTCTTTACATGATATGGTGAAGGAGAAAACAAAGATTACAGCAGTCATAGAGATAAGTTGGTGTTTGCAGTTATGAAAGTAAAAACAAAGAAGCAACAGGACCATAAATATAATAGAAATAATAAAAGTAAAACTTGAAGGTATATAAGGATGGATGGAGGAGATTGTTTATTTACTAGATGAAAAAAGGTTAGTCAATTCTTGCCTGACGCCATTTTCATCACATAAAATACGTGCCAAGTATGGTATCACAGAATTTTTATACTTAGACGTGCGAGCATACAGTTTTCTGAAGTTACTTCTTGTTCTACCTGAGGAGATGCAAGGTGAAAGCTGAGGGTGAAGTGGATGCTCCAAGTCAGACAAAATCCCTTTAGCAAATTTATTGCATGAGGTCAAGTGCCTATCAACAACGACGTTAACTATGTGGTCCACTGGGACACCACTCATCCTACTGACAGTCTTCAGCATTCTACGAATTGTGACATAGTCCTTTTCAAGCAAACCAGGAAAGAATAAGGGTGAACAATAAAGAAGAATAGGTAGGATGCAAGAGTTTATGAACTGTAAGAGGAGGGGTTGAGTTATACCCGAGTGCCTTAACTTCTTAATGTAAAATGTCAGGCGGAATATTTTATTGGAGATCGCTGAGACATGGGAAGACCAGGAGAGATCAGAAGAGAGAATAAGTCCAAGACACTTAACTTCTGATTTAATTCCTATATCATTGTCATCAATCTTACAACTGTCATGAGAATCGACGGTTTCTTTTAACTGCGTTTACACTTAAGCTGAAATTAACAGTTTGACATTTAGAAGGATTCAGTTTAAGACCGTTAGACTCAGACCATTTACTGACTCTCGACAGAAAGCTATTTATTTTGGTACAATCTAGCTGGGAGTTAACAGCCATTTAAACTGTTAAATCATCAGCGTACTTCATAAAGTTTATTTCATCAGACTGAGGCAAGTCATGTAAGAAGAAAGAAAAAAGAAAAGGAGGAAGGACAGCGCCTTGAGGGACACAAGCTTCAGTAGGCAATGAAGTGGAAGACTTCCCTTGATATACGGTGTACTGATTTCTTTCTGAGAAATAGGAATGTAACCAGTTCAGTAACATTTTTTCCTGCCTTGCTTAATTGTAACTTTATGCGTGAAAAACAAAACTGTGATCATGTGGTGAAGAGAAATGAATGGGACCTCTGCGAACTGACAGAAGGCAGAAAGAACAAACAAACTTTACAAATGAAAGCTAATCTAACGTTCACTGGTCACCGAGTTGTCCAAAGTCCTAGTGAAAAATCATGAACAGTAGGGTTTGAGCAGTCGGGTGTGAGGACAAATACTAACCGATAACATTGGCTAGCGATGGTGATATATATATCAGGAATCGTCACAAGTTTATATTCATAGACAGTTCACTGAATACCATCTCACTGGTCTCCTAACCTGAAGGTCCGATTTTCCACCTTAATGGAGGTCATGGGTGTGTGCTGCTGAAGACTCAAGACATAGGTAGAAACAACTGTCCACTACTCTCTGGTTCTTTTTTTGCTTTCTAACTGATACCAATCCATAATTGATCTTGGAATGAATTAGATCCCAACAAACTAATATTTGAAGACCTTTTCTCCTATTCCATAATTCCACACTAAACTTAGATTGTTTAATCAAGTTTTAATGCCAAAACCATGTCATCGACGAGTAGTTGTCCTTACACTCAAAATGGTGTACGCGAGTGGTTACGAGATCTCTTCAGATCTGCTGGCAACATCACACTATAGTCAGTTACTTATGAGCATTGGATTGGTTAAAGTTAGAATTCGAATGCTATTGGATTACTTTCCACAATAGTGTCACACTTCCGTACTGCTGAAGAGTAGCAAGAATTGAAGGCTTATAAACAGCTGGAAACCACTCATGTTGGTCAATAATGTTCCCCCTAGCACTAGAAAGAGGCCATTTACATACTGGATGACAGTTTCGCTTGGGTGGTAGTGAAGATCACCCGGCTCTTCTCATCTCGAACTGTGTAATTTTCGAGTGGCGAATTTTTGGTTTTAAAATTCCCAATTACAAAAACAGATGAAGACTTGTAAGCGGACAATTCCCGTCTTCACAATTATGCTGGAAAACCGTTGTAAGATTAGCATGTGACCTATGACCAATCAATTCACCAGTGAAAGACATACTCAAGACTAGAGATATACAACGACGGGTACTTAAATAAGCGGAAGTTATATATATATGACTGTGTGAAGTCATAGATTTGAGTTTTAAAGGATTACATGATTTTCCTAGAGGCTTATTTAAACTACTGGGTTAACTAAATTTCCACCCAACATCTTCTTTTCTCCATCTCTCTCAATTATCTTCTTGGATCTCAAAGTGCATTCACAGGTACATTGTCAATTGGCATCCAACCTACTGCTGGGTACTTCTTCAAGAAGAAAATGAAAGAAAATTGTCGTCGATGAGTAAGTCGTGTTTCAGATAGAGTGACAACATTTACTTGAAGATTCTATGCGCAGAGAAAATAATTTGCAAGAAATTATGCAGATAATTCTTTAATGAGTTCAGGAGAGGACGATAAGAGCGGAGAAACTAGTGGGTTACTGGGTCATGAGTTTGAACCCCGCTGTAGGTACACCACTTTGGATAGTTGGGTGGTATCATAAGCAACCAGACTATAAGAAAGGCTCATAGCCTGGTCCATAAGTCTGGCAAATGAGTTCCAATCACATTCACTGACCAACGGAAACTCTTCATACTTCCGAAGAAAACTAAATCAATAAAGTCCTCCCAGTAGCTGTAAGATGAGTTAAAACATATCTTCTTCTTTTGTTGTTGTTACCTTGGGTTCCAAATGGAAGGTAGAGCTTCAACAGCACATCTCCCTCCCCACTGTCCTATTCTCTGATGTCCTCTTTAGCTGGGCCGAAGATTGTCCACAGTCTTCTCAGCTCCTCCTCCTCCTGCTTGAACTATTTCCTCCATTTCACCCACCGACGTACGCCCCCCCCCGGTCACTTCCCATTCGGGTTCCACTCAACGGCTAGCCTGTATTGGGCGCGATATCATTCGACGGTCTCTTTAGTATGTGTGTGTGTTCCAACCTATCTACATTTTCTTTTACATATTTGTTAAGCGATAGGTTCTTCCCAGTTGGTTCGCTCACATTATCAGTTTTCTTTGTTGTCAATTCTTTCTGACCAGCCAGCCATTTGACCTTTAATATCTAGCCATCGAAGGCACCTGTTGAAAAAAGCCTTCACCTCTCTGGTACTACAAACGATATCGGTTTCTTTATCTACGTAGAAATCAGTCGAATCCCAGTAAATGAATACTTAAGGAAAATTCCTCCTCACTACAAAGTTCTGGTTAGTGACCACTGACCAGTTGTCAAATAGAACGAGAAAGCTGTCTAATACAGTCTGATTTTCTGTCATTTGTCCTTAAATCGATACCTTTTTTGAATGATAAGATCTGTTCATGTCAGCAATCCCGGTTTAATTCATCAATCATACATAATAATTCGTGACGAGTTGGCTTCGGGATGACTGTCTACAGAAATCTTAAAGACTAACTAATATTCATTCCTTCTAAAATGATATGAGATTTGAAAACGGGCATATTTTTATATTTTCTTATTGTTAGAATATTGTTATTAATGCATATTAGCATTTATATATATGTATATACTTTCACTCACAGTGTTACGAATAGGACATATCTCTCTCTAGCTTCTTGATGCATATAAACTCAATAGTAATTAATAAAAATTAATTTTTTCCTTCACTTTCCCCAGTGGAACATAGAGCTTCAAGCTAGTGGCTTGAAGTTTCTGTAGGAGTGTTTATTTTACAGGATGGGGTTGCTAGCCTCATGCCCAACCTTTCCTCTTTACCAGCATTATTTCTGGCTCAGCGAGGTTAAGGAGTGAGTCGGACGGGGATTGAACCCCGGACCATGTGCATAGTCGGCGAGCGTCCTAACCGCTATACCACCGACGCACTAAACTCACTAGTAGAAGGAATAAAATTCACATTGGAATAAGAAAATGAACAATGTGAATTAGCTATGTTGAAGTGTAAAATCAAACGAAAAGAAGAAGGTAAACTTTACACTAATGATAGCATTAATATGAAAGAATATAAGGCATCTACAGCAGATTTAGCATATAAGGTGGAGATATCTGAGACCCTCCCTATGTAGGATTATTAATAAAACAGGAATCATAGTAGCATTTAAACCTACAAACTCACTCAGGCAAGACAAGCTCTGTAGGTTAAAGGACCCTGTCGGCTGACCCAATTAGACAAAATAATATAATTTACAAAATACGTTGCAATGACTATTGAGGTAAGTCAACCACATAGGTCTTATTAGTATATCGGGAGTAGTCAGATTGTCAGAACATAAAATTTAGCTAAGACTAGAATGACTGACCCCGAGAAGATAAGTAATTTAGACAAAAGCTCAGAAATTGCATTGCACTGCATGCAGTAACACACAACCATACAATAGGGTGGGAGAGGGTTAAAATTCTAAAGAGTAACATAGGTAGGTGGAGAGAGAGATTGACTACTGAATCCTGGTTCATCGAGTCTACACCCAACACGTGCAACAGGAATGACTCATCACTCATACCGGAAATATGGAAAATACTACTACCAATCAAGTCAAGCGATGGAAAATAATGGAATTATATAAACGAAGTTAGGAAGTTGTGTGAGTAGTGTCTTGATATGCTTATGAGGAGTAATAAATTGTTCTCGAGTCGTGGTCATCAGCAAATATTACTGTATAACACTATGAGACTTTATCAAAATAAATTTTACCCATAATGGAATTATGCCCTACCACATTGCACAAGTTTTACTATTATATCAATATATGGAAAGTTTTCATTTCACTTAATACGAAGTAAGTTTTTATGGAAATAATAATTTCATTTTACAAATTCGTCACTAGCTGACTTCAGTTAGAGAACCAAAGAGAAACCATCAGGGAGGACTGGACAATTTGAGACTCTTCATCAGTACGCACAGATGAGTGGGGTTCGAACCCAGGACATGGTTCCTTGTATATCTCATCTCTTGATTTGATTGGTAGTAGTATTTTCCATATTTCCGGTACGAGTGATAAGTCATTCCTGTTGCACGTGTTGGGTGTAGACTCGATGAACCAGGATTCAGTAGTCAATCTCTCTCTCCACCTACCTATGTTACTCTTTAGAATTTTAACCCTCTCCCACCCTATTGTATGGTTGTGTGTTACTGCATGCAGTGCAATGCAATTTCTGAGCTTTTGTCTAAATTACTTATCTTCTCGGGGTCAGTCATTCTAGTCTTAGCTAAATTTTATGTTCTGACAATCTGACTACTCCCGATATACTAATAAGACCTATGTGGTTGACTTACCTCAATAGTCATTGCAACGTATTTTGTAAATTATATTATTTTGTCTAATTGGGTCAGCCGACAGGGTCCTTTAACCTACAGAGCTTGTCTTGCCTGAGTGAGTTTGTAGGTTTAAATGC